AAAGGAACAGGTTGAACAAGCCTCTCCCTGGTTTCAAGTCCCGTCAAGGGTGGAATGAAGGACAACCTTAGGGTCTCAGGGAAAAGGGCCGGCGGGGGTGGGGGGGTGGCATTTGAAGCCAGTCAGTCACTCTCCTCTGAGGACTTTAAGAAACCTTTGCCGCCCTCCTGGCTGGCCATGTGGGAGGGGTGCTGTCCGGGGCAGGCCTCCGGAGGCCGGCCGGGGCTTCTGGCTCAAGGAAATGAGGAGAGATGAGGCTTCTCCAGAGGCAACCTACGTCCTCACACCTCAGTTCCTCCCCCTTTCCTGGCAGACCTGCCCTGCTCTGTGTCGAGGCAAAACGACTAGACCAAAGCCCTGCCAGCCTGCGCTGATGACAACTAACCTGGTCTTTAAGTTTCCAGGTTATCCCTGGCCACTCTTTCACGGGCATGCTTCTCTCCTATGGCAGGCAGTTTCTAGACCACCTGAGAGACAGACTGCAGGAATGGGGCCCGGCCCACGGCGTGGGGGAAATATTCCTAAAGTTTGGAAGCCAGTTGAACATATATACCAATTTCTTCAACAATTACCCGGTTGTTCTGAAAACTATGGAGAAGGTAATGATTGAGTTACCACCCAGGCACGTATGAGACCTTCTGAGCTCGAGAGGAAGTTTTGTGTGCGATCCAAAGGACTAGGATTAATAGGGAAGACTTCCTCCCTACTCTTAGCTTCCAGTTTGCTGTGAACTCTTTGGGGATGGCGACTCTGACTTATTTAATTTCGTATCACTAGGGACTAGCATAGTGCTTGATACATAAGGCCCCAGGAACTGATTGTTGGGCTGAATTAATCATACACGTTTCCAAGCTTTCATCTGTCCCAGATACCCTGTGGTTCGCTTACAGAAAACCGTCGAACAATTAGGTAGAAACAAAACTGAGAGCCCTGATTCTACTCTGCCAACACGTGTGGTACTGCGTGGCCTTGACAAGCTCAACTCTCTTATGGAGAAAAGGAATCGATAACCCATGTTGCTCGGAATAGGGACACTCAATTTGAAAAATCTCATTGTGGAATAAGGAATTTCTTTGCCTTCCATCCCTTGGAGAGTTCATTATACACAATTCTTCCCACTGCGACCGATGCCATATGTAGTCTGGGCAGGAACATTCAGCTCGTTCTGCGTCACTCACTGCTCTTGTTGGGGTCTCTTCTGACGGCCGGGAGATCTTTCTTTCCGCCCTCTTCAATTTGTGTGAAAAGCGCAGCAGAAGACGGAACCTTGACTTCTGCCAGTGTCGGCTGCGTCCACTCCGGCTGGGTCCGCCCATCTGCACTGAGGCCGAGGGGAAGGCTTGGGGGCTGGGAGGCCTCTGGATGATCCCTGACCTCAGACGTCTCCCTTTGTAGCATTCTTCTTGCCCCACTTAGGGAGTTCAAACACTGCTAGACAAGTGAATGATGGGAAAGTTGCGTGAATAAGGCGATTTCATAGGACCAACCATAGGACAGAAATGGGAGCAGAGTGTCACATATTGTCACTAGCATGGGGTGTGCATATAAGCAAGTACTCAGTGAACGTTAGCTGTTAACATTACAACAGTGAATATTTGCCTTCTGGAAATTAGCATTACTGGTGTCTTTCAGGCACGTGTGTGCTGAGAAAAATGAGGTAACTTCCGGAGGGCTCTACTAAGATGAACGAATGCATTTTAAAACATATTTGGCACAGTGGAGCCTCTTTCTAATGCTCCTGTGGAAAACATAGTCAACAACAGTATTTTTTTTTTTTTAATTTTTTTTTTTCAACATTTATTTATTTTTGGGACAGAGAGAGACAGCATGAACGGGGGAGGGGCAGAGAGAGAGAGAGACACAGAATCGGAAACAGGCTCCAGGCTCTGAGCCATCAGCCCAGAGCCCGACGCGGGGCTCGAACTCCCGGACCGCGAGATCGTGACCTGGCTGAAGTCGGACGCTTAACCGACTGCGCCACCCAGGCGCCCCTCAACAACAGTATTATAGGTGAATAGTTTCTTACTGTGGGGATAACACTTACTGCCTGACAAGCACTTTATGGAGAGGATTCTTCCTCTCCTCACCACGAGAGTTAGGTACAGTATCCACAGGAAAATGGAGGCTCAGAGAAGTGAAATAACTTGATAGGGTCACATAGAATTAGGTAGAATTAAATTAAATCTTTAATTTTAATCCAGGCCTACCTGGCTGCAAAGCCATTTTGTCTATACTGACTCAGTTCACTGAATACCTTTAGTGCAGAGAAACGATACCAGCATTCCGAGCTTTCCTGAAGAGGCATGATAAGACCGTTGCTACCAAAATGCTGAGGTGAGTTCTGAGGGAAAGCACGGTGGGGGTGCCCTAAGCACAGGGCACACTTTGACCTTCCAAAAGTGACCAGCGTTCCATTTTCTATGCCTCCTACAGCCTCCCGGAGCTGCTCTTACACCCATCCAGAAGATTTGAAGAATATATTAATCTTCTGTACGCTCTGAGGCTTCATACTCCTGCAGAACATGTTGACCGTGGGGACTTGACCGCTGCGATTGACCAAGTCAAAAACTATAAACGTTATATAGATCAGGTTGGTTGCTGGTAAGAGTTGGTGTCCTTGAAAAATGTTACAATGCTTTGCGGTACTGACTCAAAGATCCTGAAATAGCTTATCCTGTCGTGGTGTTCTTTACTTCAAAGTCTTTTATCCCTTTCATGTGAAATCATCGGGTTCAGGGATTTGGAGCACTAAGGGCATCTATTCTAAGCCAAGCAACATGAGACACAATGTTTTCAGACATCTGCGTAAGCGCAATAGAACTTTTATTAATATGGAAGTTTGAAGACTCGGATATTTAGATTGATTTTTCTAGATAACTAAGAGGAAAAAAAAGCAAAATTCTTTGTTTCTGAAGGTACTTCTTACCGTGTTAATTAAATTTTCTGACTCAGTAAGTATCGCAATCATAATCATTCTCGGGGGTGCCTGGGTGTCTCTGTTGGTTAAGCATCTGACTTCGGCTCAGGTCGTGATCTCACAGTTCATGAGTCCAAGTCCCACTTCGGGCTCTGGGCGGACAGCTGGGAGCCTGGAGCCTGCTTCCGATTCTGTGTCTCCTTCTCTCTCTGCCCCTCCCCCACTTGTGCTCTGTCTCTCAAAAATAAATAAATGTTAAAAAAAAATTTTAAATCATAATCATTCTCTGAAAGAATTTGGCATCGTGGAAGACAGTTCTATCGTTCTGAAAATACTGTTGTGATGGGCGTACTGCATGGGCAGCCAGGCTGAATGTAACCTGATAACATATTATGCCCTGAAGATACTTTCTGAATACAGTGCTGTCACCTGTGTCTTTGTTTTAAAACACTGGGGATACGATGGGGCCCCTGGCTGACTCAGTCAGTTGAGTGGCCCACTGTTGATTTCAGCTCAGGTCACGATCCCAGAGTCACGGGATTGAGCCCCATGTCAGGCGCCGCGCTGAGCGTGGAGCCTGCTTAAGGTCCTCTTTCTGTCTCCCTTTGCCCCTCTACCCTGCTTGCATTCTCTCCCTCTCTCTCTCTCTCTCAAATAAAAATAAAAATAAATAAATAATTGGGGACACGAAACTGAGATTCTTATTAAGGGTTATGAACATACTGAGCCCTCTATCAAGTGACATAAAATATTTTAAATCTAGTTTTTCTGTATAAAACTTTCATAATTTTAGTTGGCCTAAAATCACTTTGTTTACTAGATGAAGCAAAACATCGGTATGAGAGATCAGCTGTCAGACGTACAGAGAATCGTCAGGGGATGCCCGGTACGTATTAGGATGTGCTCATTACATCTCATGCTCAGGAATGTAACGTCCGGTCATCGGCAAAGCAGACATGCATTTTTCCATTCAGCTAACGTCTGTTGAGGGCCTGCCGTGTGCGATGTGCTGGCGAGCTCTCACATTTCACTTCCTTGCTAGCTGTAAGGGTGCATATGAGAAGAGGCACGAGTGAACTTGACCCCATCCCATAGTTTGTCTTCAGTCTTAGCTCTCTGATTGTCACTTCTGTAACATGACCTCCTTTGGGGAAAGGGGCCATGTCTTTTCTGATGTCATGTCTCCCTGCACATACAGCCTGGTGCAGGATTCTGCACACTGAGGATATCTAAAAAATCTCAGGAGTCATCTGTTAGCTGCTGCCTATATAGAATATCATCTGGTCCCACTCTACCTTCTCTCTTACTGCCTTGCCTACCACTTTATGATCAAAGAAATCTACTCATAGTTCTTCAATAATGTTAATCTTTCCTCACACATTTGTGCTTTGCTCATGCTTTGCCTTCTCTGAAATTGCCTTCCTTTCCCACTCCACTGGATAAACTCTTTATCCTTTAAAAGTCCAGTTCAGGGGCGCCTGGGTGACTCAGTCGGTAAGTGTCCGACTTCCGCTCAGGTCGTGATCTCGCGGTTTGTGAGTTCAAGCCCTGCGTCGGGCTATGCTAACAGCTCAGAGCCTGAAGCCTGCTTCGGATTCTGTGTCTCCCTGTCTCTCTGCTCCTCCCCCACTCACACTCTGTCTCTCTCTCAAAAATAAATAAACGTTAAAAAAAAAAAAAATCCGGTTCATGGGTACCTGGGTGGCTCAGTCAGTTAAGCATCAGACTCTTGGTTTTGGCTCAGGTCACGATCTTGTGGTTTGTGAGTTCAAGCCCCTCCTCAGGCTCCGTGCTGACAGTGCAGAGCCTGCTTGGGATTCTCTCTCTCCTCTCTTTGCTCCTCCCCCACTCACTCTGTCTCTCAAAAATAAACTTAAAAAAAAAATCAAGTTCAATCATCATCTTCCTTGTGAAGTTTCCCCAACATCTCCAGCTGTGAGTTCCCCCTTCCTGGGTTTTCCGCAGCACCTTGAACATCTCTCTCACGCTTTTTTGTAACCCTTAATTCATAAGACTGGGAGCTCCATCAGGTATGAGCTATGATTTACTTGTCTTCTAGTAGGAGTTCACCATATGAATTGTGTTGAATTAAAGTATCAATTGATTGGAAATGTTATTTATTTATTTATTTATTTATTTATTTATTTATTTATTTACTTGTTTAGGCCAAAGTAGGGAAACAAGATGGAGCTGTTTTGTTAGAATTTAGATCTGGACATTTTGGTAGGGAGAGTGAAGTTGACTGGATTACAAAAAGTCCCAAATCTTGGCACTCACAGAGTCTGAACTTTATCTCTGGATCGCTGTTCATAACAAGTGATCATCTCCATAGCTAGATCAGTACAAGGGCCTAATTTCTTAATTTGTAACAATCCATTCATTACCCTTTCTTGATAGATCCCTTCTTTCCTGCTTCCAACCCTCCTCTTCCTCCTCCTTCTTCTTTTAATACTAGGAAAGCATTTAAAGAATTTATAAATAAAACAGTAATTTCAGTAGCTTTAAAAATTAGACAACGGGGCACCTGGGTGCCTCAGTCCGGAGAACATATGACTCTTGATCTCGGGGTCGTGAGTTCAAGCCCCATGTTGGGGGCAGAGATTATTTAAGACTTGAAAAAATAAATTAATTAAAAAAATTAAAAATTGAAAATTAGATAACACCCTCAAAATATAGTTTTCATGGTCAATTCTGTGGTCTAACGAAAGCCTGTTTTGTTAATAGTAAAAACACTCACTTTTTCATAATTAAACTGAGTTCTACTCAACAGTGTGCAGGATATCAAATGGTTCTGCAGTAGTGGGACTTCTATTTTCTACAAATTTATGAATGTGTCTAATTTTGTTTTTTATTTCACAGACTCTATCAGAGGAAAACAGATATCTGATTAGGGTCCAAGATGTAGCCCAGCTTCACTGCTGTGATGAGGCAGTAAGTTTCTCTTTAAGGTAAGCATTGAACTATCCTAAGGCTGTGACTGTGACTTGCTCATCTTGTATCTGGGATTGAGTACAATGTCTGACATAAGTTTACAACAAATCTTTGTGCTGTACTGAAAACTTACACACACATTCCTCCGAGATGATGTAAGGTGCTTTACTCACTTACTCACATTCCAGGCAGCTACTGGATAGAATGGGAGAAAATACATGGTCTCTGCCAGAACCACAAACTGCATAGAAGCAGGAATTCTGAAGGTTGGTCACTTCCCTGCTGAAAGGAGATCCAAGTGGTGGGTATCACACGAGTGATTTGCTCAACTATAAGAAAGAGAAGGCCAGTTAATTATCCTCAGATAGTTATTGAGGTTAGTATTAAAAAGGTCTCACCAAGGAACCACCATTGTATTGAGGGCCCACTGTATCTGTTCTGCACCTCACAGTAGTGTAAGAACAGAAGATGGGAGGGTGCTAATTTCCATAAGCTAGCACCCCCTTTCCTCCTTTAGAACAAGGATGGGGGGCCTCTGGGTGGCTCAGTCCGTTAAGCTCCCGACTCTTGATTTTGGCTCAGGTCACGATCTCGCGGTTCATGGGTTTGAGTCCTGCAGTGGGTTCCAGGCTAGCAGTGCAGAGCCTGCTTGAGCTTCTCTTTCTCCTCCTCTCTCTCTGCCCCTCCCCCCCACTCTCCCTCTTTCTCTCAAAATAAATAAAGACTTGAGGAAAAAAAAAGAACAAGGATGGGCAAACTTTTTCAGTAAAGGGTCAGATAGTAAATATCCCGTGGCAACTAGTAACTTCACCGTTGCAGCACAGAAGCAGCAACATAATGATCCAATACATAAATCGTACAGTCTTCATAGACAATACAGCACATAAATGAACCAGTGTGGCTGTGTGACAATAAAACTGTATTTATAAAACAAGTGGGGTTATAATTTACTGATCCCTGCTTTGGAAAATTATTTGCACAACTATGTTCTTAGTATTAATGACAAAGAGGAGAAATCAACAAACAGCAACCAAACTGGAGAGACATCAACTCCCTTAATTTGTCCGATTTCAACAAAAGAAGTAAAAATGGATTTGCCTGTCATTTCAATGAATATTTCGGTGAATGTTTCCCAGAGGCATAGGTCAGTGTGTGTGGGGGTGGGGGTGGGGAGGTGGTGGTTGGAAGAAACCCAATCCTCTCACCTCTATTCCTACCTGGAATGATTCTAAATGAAAATCAAATTACACAATTGCGTCACTTTTGTCATGGTCACAGTGTTTTTGTTTCGTTTTGTTGATTTTGTTTGGTAACGTTAGAAGTAAGCTGCAGTGATGGAAGGAAACTAGCTAGCAAACCAGCAATTTTGAACATATTGGTGTAGTGGGAGACATGCTAGGGATTATTCCAGTTTTTTATTATTAGAATTTATTTTACCTTCATGTACTCATGAAGGTAACACTCTGTCTTTATGTGAGTCTGAGTTTCTGACCTACATAATTTACCTTTTCTCTAAAGACCTTCTTTTAACGTATCTTGCTAGGAAGGTCTACTGGCAATAAATTTCCTCAGTTTTTGTTTGTCTGATAAACTTTCACTTTTGAAGGATAATTTTGCTGGCTACAGAATTCTGGGTTGCTGGGGTTTTTTTTGTTTTTTTCTTTAAATGCTTATTCCACTGTACTCTCTTCTTGCATGGTTTCTGAAGAGACATCCAATGTCATCGTTGTTCCTCTTTGGTAAGGTGGTTTTTTTGTTTTGTTTTTGTCCTCTGGGTTCTTTCAAGATTTTTTCTTTGTCTTTGATTTTCTGGAGTTTGAATGTAATATGCCTGTGTAGATTTTTTTGGTATTTACCCTGCGTGGTATTCTATAAGCTTCCTGGATCTGTGGCTTGGTGTCTGTCAATAATTTTGTAAAATTCACAGCCATCATCACTTCACACACTTCTTCTGTTCCTTTCTCTTTATTCTCCATCATCTTTTCCCATTAGATATATGTACATCTTTTGTAATTGTCCCACATTTCTTGGAGAGTCTATTCCTTTTTCAGTCTTTTTTCTCTTTGCTTCTAAGTTTGGTAAGTTTCTATTGATGTACCTTCAGGCTCATTGATTCTTTCCTCAGCTATGTCCCATCTGCTAATGAGCCCATCAAAGGCATTATTCATTTCCATTTCAGTGTTTTCAATTTCTGCAATTTTATTTTGGGGGTTTCCATTTTTTTGTTCACATTACCCATCTGTTCTTTTGTTGCATGTTGTCCACTCTTTTTTCATTAGAGTCCTTACTTTGTCATAAATATTTAAAATTTCTGTCTAATAATTCCAACATCATCCCTGCCATGTGAGTCTGGTTCTAAAACTTGCTTTATCAAACTGTTTTCTCTCCTCTTAGCAAGATTTGTAATTTTTTGTTGAAAGCTAGATATATTGGGTGAAAGGAAATGAGGTAAATAGGTCTTTGGTGTGAGGTGTTATGTTTATCTGGCTAGAGGTTAGCCTGTGCTTACTGTTTGTTGTAGCTGTGGTGTCAGAAGCTACAGTTAATTCTGGTGTTCTTGTTTTTGTCTCCCCTTTTGTCACTGAGTTTCCCTAGAGATCTCTTAAATAAGGTCTGAACCTTCTAGTTCTTTTTAGCTATAATCCCTGTCGTTATAAGGAGTCCTATGGATGTGGTAGTCAAATGGAAGGAAGGGGAGGAGAGGGAAGCGGAGGGGAGGGGAGGGGAGGGGAGGGGAGGGGAAGAGTTCTATAGTCTTCTGATGAGGTCTTCGTTTTTTTAGTGAGCTGTGCCCCTAGGCTAGGACCTTCAGAAGTGCTTCCCAGTCTTGTTTTCTGTTTTGTTTTGTTTTGGTGCCCCTCTACTGACACAGGAAACTGAGAAGGAGCTGGAGGTACAAGTTTCCCTCCCCCATGTTGGTTCGATTCTGATAAAAATAGTTTCCCTTGAAGGCAGTCCTTTGTTAAGAAGAGAACTCTTTGGGCATGTTTCAAAAAAGTTACTTTTCCCTTCCCCATCTGGAAGAATGAAAAGATTTTTCTCTCGATTTTACAGTGAGAACCTGGTGGGGCTCCTGGAAGTAAAATTCCTGCAACTTTCAAATTCATGCAAGTGGGGACAGAATGTTCCCCTAAGGCTAGGCTTCCAGGAGTTCCTAATCTCTTAAACTAGTTCACTCTGTCTCTAGCAGTTAGTCAATTATCTTTTAAATATTCTTTCCTGATGCTGCTCCCTCAGGGAGTTTCTGCTTCCAGTAAGTGGTGATTCCCTTATCAGTGTGTCTCCCCAGCTTTTGGGTGGCTGGTTTACCTTATGACCTCAATTCTTTGATGGAAGAGTGGCTGATTCTGAGGTTTTTAGCTTCTTTTTTGTTGTGAGGGTGAAGTTAGGACTTCCAAGCTTTTTGACATGTCCAATCAGAAACCAGATGTCTCATTGTTTAGAATTTAGGCTTGTCTTCAGTATTTGGACAACAGAGAGTACATTTTGAGGATAATGAGAGGATACCAAATTATTTTATACTCTAATTATGAGGTACATGTATATTTAAATAGGCACTATCTCAGTGATTTGCCAAGCAACAAATGTACATATAATTTTACATCAACAGCTGAAATTAAATACAAGATAGTTTCATATTCCAGAAGATATTACAGAATATTTAGCCTGAAACTTTACTATCATTTTGGAAAGTCACATGAAACCCAAGAAATCCCATTCCTATGACTTCCATCAGGGATTTCTAATCAGAGGAAACTGCTAATATTTATACTGACTCACATGAGTATAAGCTTTTATAATTTACTATATTTTATTAATGCTATCTATCTATCTGCCATCAATCTATCTCTACACTCAACACAGGGCTTGAACTAATGGCCCCAAGATCAAGAGTCGCACACTCCTCTGAGCCAGGCAGACACCCCTACAATTTATCGTATACTTTAAATTTTCTCATTTGATATACTCATTACAATCACTTGGTGAAGCAAGTAGGACTGGAACCATGTTACGGGTGGGAATCTGGATTTAACTTGTTTGAGGCTGCAGAATAAGTGCTGGTCTGAAACTCAAAACCAGGTCTCAGTGCTCCTACTGATTAGACCAGCAGGTGGAAAGATGAATTAACCTTCCTCATAATAAACTCACCACCTGAGCAGCAGGTATGAAACAATGAATAAACAAGAGCTGTGACACACAAAAAATAAGTAAATATTTGCACCGTAAGTGAAAAAATTTCCTCAGGGGGTAGAGATGAAATCATAGAGTCATTTTCGAGTTAGGAAATTTGGGGTTATTATTTGTACCTCTGTGGATATCGCCCACAGAGTTTTGGGATATGTTAAGCTTTTATAATACATTATGGAATTTGGAAATTTTATAATAAAGTTTTTTCCAGAAACGCCAATTTTCATTTATGTGACTTTAAGCCTGCTGGTTTTTAAATAG